GATGAAAGAAAACTTAAAAAAATAAAAATAAAAAAGGAGAAGGGGAGAGATAGAGAGAGAGAGAGAGAGAGAGAGAGAGAGAGAGAGAGAGAATGAGAGGTGTGAGTGGCCCAGGTAGACGAATACCCATTCAGTCCTGGTATCTCTCCTCGGGGGAGCACTCATCTTTAGCACTTCAAGGAAATACTGATTCCTACGGTTTTGGAAAAGGAGCCAATTAATGATGGGTAATTTGTGGACATTCTGGAGAAGGACAAGCCTGTTAGATGTGAACTGGCGAGACCGCACAAGCTCTAGGAGCCATGGAGACACAAAGGGGAGCCGAGGGCAGCTATCCTGCCAGGCAGAAGCGAAGCGGGGCCGGCGGGGCGGGCACAGAGCAGGCCTCGCCTCCCCGCCGCGGGACACCTGGATGCGCACTAGCCACAGTAAAGCCCATGCGATGAGAGGGGACAAAGGGGGTAAAAAACCCRGATAATTACTACTGCTGTGTTCTTTGCCTAGGCAGAGGCGCTTCAGGGCTGACCCTGTAAGGGAAAAACAAACGACACAAGACCACAGGGTTAGGCAGAACAGCACACACCGGTCACGCCACCACACTTAAGCCAAAGTCGTCAGTGTGCAGGGAGGGACAGACACAGGCAGCAGTTCAGAGAGGAGGGCCGACCCGGCCTGGGGTCTGGGGGTGGCATCCCCAGAGTTAGTGTGCAGGCTCTCACGGGCTTCACCGAGGAGGCAGAGGTGCCAGAGCAAGCCCCAAGCTTCAGGGAGAGGTGTTTGTCTCTAGAAGCATATTCCAGAAAAAGAAAAAGCAAAGGAAAAAAAAAAAAAAAGAGAGAGGGAGAGAGAGAAAAAAGGAAAAAAAAAAGAAAAAGAAAAAGAAAAAAACAAACAAACAAAGCACACGGCTTGGCTTTCTTTCAGTCACCAGGCTTTTGGGAGCCCCACTGGTTGAGGCAGGAAAACCCGCTAAAAGTCAGCCATGGGGTCCGCAAATGGAGCTGGGCACGGCCTGGGCTAACTGGCCACTGAAGCCATTGAAGGTTTTCCAAGTGCAAAAAGATACATTGTTTTGCAGGTTTGAGGCCACTTCCTGATCCCAGAGGGCTGCCCTGGATGAGGCCGGATGGGCATCAAGTAGGGAAGGAGGAGGGTCTCTGTGTCAGGGCTGACCCTGACTTGGGAAGACACTGTTGCCTTTTTTCTAAGTCCACTCCCCAAGGGGCAGGGGGAGGCCTTGTTTTTGGACCACCACCAAGTGGATCTGTCCTCACTGTCTGGTGCTGGTCAGGCAGGCATCACAACTGAATGTCCGGCAGGGCCTGGCGGGGTGGGGGCACCCGGGGCTGGCCCAGGAGCTATGCCAGGAGGTGCTGCCATTATGGCTTATCCTACAGTGTCCCAGGGAACTGGGACTGGCCAGGATGAGCTCAGACTTCCCCAAGGTCACTTGACACAGCCATGCTAACATAGAGATCTACCCTCCAGCCGGTAGGACCCCCCTTGCCAAAGCTCACACCCCTCCCCTTCAGGGCCACCCTCCTCACAAAGGCCTGCCTAGCGCTGTCTCCCAAGACTCTAGACTATCCAGGGACTGGAACTTCTGGCAGCCTCAGACTTCCTTCTAAAATAGGCTGCACCTTTTACTTTAAGGCACAGCAGGCAAATGTCAGCCGGGCTCTCGGGCCTGAGCCCAGCCCGGGCTTTGTGTGTTGTGCCTGGCAACTTGATTCTTTTAGTCCATTCTGTGTGGTCTCTGCGGGGGAAAAGGGAAGGTGCTCTGCTGAAGTCCCCACTGTTCAGATGAGAAGGAGAGAGGTGAGCAGGGGGTCCAGACAGATCCCCTCTGGAGGAGGGAGCATTTTCAGAGGCAAAAGGGCGGTTTCCTAAGTGAAGGGAGAGAACCTGAGGTCTGTAGCTGCTGGTTGGGCTCAAACCCAAAATGAAGGGTTCGATCAGCAAATCACCAATGTCCCCTAGGGTTCTGTGTGGGGATGTAGCTCTGTGTAGGCTGCAACCATCCAGACAGCCTAAGAGAGAGGGATATGTCACATCTGGACCCCTTCCCCGGCTGCAGCAGTGTGACCCTCACTGTGGCTGGTGGCCCTGCACCCTGGACTAATTCCTGGCTGTTGTCCTAGTGGGACAAACACTAGACAGGGCAGCTGCTGGTCAGCCTTTCTCAACTCAGGCCCCAGGTGGCTACAACACAGATAGCTCCCACCTTCCATATCCCTCCTTGACACGAACTGCAGTAACCAGAATGCAGATGGCCTAGCCCTCCATGGCCTTCCTGAACCCTGTCCCCAGACGACAGGGGCACAGATGGTTCTGACCCTCTGGACAGACTCATTGCCTGTCCCTTGACATCCCTGCTCTCAGCATCGGGTGTCCGTTCTCAGGGGAGCAGCTCCCTCTTTTAGGTGGAGTGGAATCTACCTCCCCAAAGCATCTCTGCCCTGGGCCCTGCCCTTCTTGTGCCCACTAGAGGGCATCTGACGGACAAGTCCCCACCAGATCCCCCACGTTTTGCTGAGTCAGGATAGACACCCAGGGGCTCCTGTCCCCAAAGTAGCAGCGGGAGAGCAGACACAGCCAGCCAGAGCGTGATGGTTGAAACCAGACCCTGTCTTGGTCTCTGGGGACACCTGGGAGGCCCCAGCCCTGCTCTGCCCTGCAGAGTCCTCTGAGACAAAACACGCTGCTCACAGGCGGACAGCCCACCTCCCAGCACCCACCACCATCCAGACCTTGGCTGGCGGCACAGAGGATGCCTCGGGCACGAAGCATTCAAAGCTGAGGATGTCTGACCGGGACAGATGGCATAAAAGTGGGTCAGGCCTGGAGCAGCTCCTCACGCGTGCTTTTTCTGTGTCAGTGATCAAATATTGACAAAATCCACAAAAATTGCAGGAGCAGAGAGACTCCAAAGGGTCAGCCCTCCCGGATTCCTCACTGCTGGCTGGCCCTGGCACCGCACCTCAACCCTGGCACAACCTCCAAAGGGTCTGTCTTACTCAACTGAGTAGCATCAGATGCCCTGTGCTGGTGTCCAAGGTCAAAACCACCCTTTGGGCTGTCTCTACATCAAGAACCATATTCTCCAGCTGAGAAAATCACCAAGATCTACCCAGGAAGTGCCAAGTCAGAACCAAGGATGTGCCTTGGTTCTGCTCAGGGTGGTCTGGGGACATTTTTACTCTACCTGAGCAGCATGACCCCAGGTCCCACAAGCCCTGGAGCATACATCTTGTCCCTAGATAGCCACTGTTGTCAAGCCACCCTGATCCACGGCTGCCAAGGCTGAACCTTGGCCTGCTCACCCAGTGCCCTCTGCTGGGGGCCCCACTCAGCTCTCTCCTCTACAGGGAGGGATGAAGACTTCCAGGGTAAGGAGAATTGGGAGCTGTGGAAGGATCCCTGAGCCCAACATGATGCAGCCAATGGATGATGAAGGAACAATGCAACTCGCAACCCTGTGGTTCCTGTGTACAGACCAAGGCCTCGAGGTACCAGTGCCTGCCTGGTCAGGTGGGAGGATGCAAAAGGAGGTTGGTCAGCAGTGTGTGACCAGAGCTTCTGACCAACAGAACCTCAGCCCCTGGGCCCCCTCTTCCTTGGTTCCACAGCCACCATCCTTGAGGACATGGTTTCCCAAGCTCCTCCAGCAACCACAAGGAAGGGCTTGGTGGGTGAGCAGCTGGGTACTGGGCCAGTGCCGATGGGGGTGTCTGACACAGGGTCCACACTCCCCTAGGGCCTGCCCGCTCACTGCAGCCACGAACCCATTCCCTGCTCCTCTTCCTGGGGTCAGCACCCACCTCTGGATCTACCTGCTGCTCCCCTTGGCTTTGCCCTCAATGGTCCCCCGCCCACCCGCTGACCTCAACTATCCCTGTTTGGGCAGCATCTTCACTGAGCTTCATGGAAGCCAAGACCTTTCCATAGGCTAAAATATAATGCACGCTTTATGATCCTGAAGGCTTTTCTTTTCTAGGAAGTGAGGGGTGTCCCACATGAAGGAAGGCAGTGAACAGAAACTTCCCCAGGTTTCATCAAGCAAGCGCTGGGCTGGGCCAGATGCCTCCTCCCTGGCCACACCTGTTCCTAAGCTTCAGCTCTTCCTCTCCTTGTAGCATCACCCCTGACCCCACAACCCCACAGAGCTGGGCACATTCTGGCATCTTCCTCGACATTTGCTCAGGCTGCCCCTACCCGGAGGGCCCATCCCTCCTCCAGGCCTCCAGACCCACTCAGTCTGACGACCCTGGGCCTCATGTGCTCCTGAGACTTTGACCTTCCCTCTAGCCCCTGTATTTAGTGCTCAGTCCTCACAGATCTCCAAGTGCATCCTTCTCCTGGTCACTCCTGTGGTCACTCAGGAGCCAGCAGACACACAGATGGAGAGCTCAGTGAGAAGCCCTAAGCTCTATAACCCAGGGGCCAGCAGCACACCGGCCAGGAGGCCTCTCCGCTACATCCTGCAGAGCACCAGGGGAGGCTGGTGGCCTCCAGCCCACCCTGGCCGCTGAGCCGGCACTCTCCCAGACCAGGTTCTATACTAAGAAGTACCCAGAGCTGGTGCCCATCTGGGCTCTGCCTGCCCAGCGACCTGAGAGCACACGGGGCTGTGTGATCATCTGAAAAGGCGGAAACAGCCAAGTGTACATGAAAGGGGCAGGCTGTGGACAAACACTAGCACATGCTCAAGGCCAGGGCAGGCAGCAGCCACCGCACCCGAGGCCGACCAGCCACACCTGCCTCAGACATTCCACACTCTATTCCGTGGCCTTTGTCCATGTTGTCTCACTTTTTAAACCCTTTAAAAACACAACCTCAGTGCCAATCTCAGGGGTACAGTCACGCCACTGGCACTACACTGCTTCACCCAACACACTGGGAAAGCCACCGTGTGCTCTGCTCGATTCCCAAGACCCACGGCAGCCATTCAGGGGACAAGAGACACCCAGATACCCAGGTGCCTTCAACCCTGGGGACCACCCCAGTGTGAGCTGCATTTGTACCAGGGAAGCAAGAGAGGCACCAGGGGAGCAGGGCCCGGACAAGGCTGGGAACAGGGACAGGGATGGCCTGCCAGAAGGATGGGAGAGATGCACCAGGGAGGCCTCCCAGCCCAGGTCCACCTTCACTGCAGCAACTGACCGGAAGCCACACAGATGTGCCGCCAGCTGGGCACCACCGTGGCTCAAACAGGGCAGCCCATCAAACAGACAAAAGGCCAACAGGAAGCCACTGGCCTTCCCACAGTGGCCTAGTGCCCTCGGCCTGTCCCCACCTGGAAAATGATGATCCGTACGGGCCTCTGATGGGGTGGCAATGGCAATKGTTACTTACTGCAAACATGGCCTCTGGGTCCCCACAAGCACAATGTATCTTTATTGTACAAGCAAAAAGTCATGTGCCCCAAACCAGCATCTCCAATCCAATTGTCAAAAAGTTCAATTTTTTCTGTTAAAAAAGACAAAAACCTAAAAAGTGCACAATTTTTGATTCGTTTGCCAATCATCATGAGGGTTAAAAATAAGCCGCACCATCGTGTGGCCCAAGCAGGTGTGCACTCCTGGGCACTCGGGGTGTGTCCTAGGGTGTGTGAGAGAAGCTGGAACTAGGGTTTGGTTTGTTGGAGGTCAAGGACGCAGGCTCCCAAGGAAGAGCTGAGGGACAGATGTCAGTCTCATGTCTCTGAGTTGACGAGGGGGCGAGGAGCAGTGCAGGGGATCAGACTTCCCTGCGTGGGTGTGTATGGAGTCTCAGGAAGCCCTCGCTGGAGCAAATGCTTTTTAAATTGTGACTTTCATTTTCTGTGCTGCTGGGGACTGCACCCGGGGCGTTGCGCATGCCGGGCAAGCGCTCTACCACTGAGCTGTCCCCTCAGCCCCTGAGCAGGTTCTTAGCATCTCCACATGCAGGGCGAGGACAGTGGGCAGAGGCAGAGCTGGGTGGGGGGCTGTAGCCCCCGGGCAGAGGTCACAACCTCCGGGGACCTGTAGGACTGCACCGGCCTGCTACGTGCACGTCTTCAGAGTTTAGACACGTGTGCCACACACGGTGCATCTAGAGCAGGTGGGGGCTTATCTTTTTGTTGTTGCTGGAACTGGGGGACAGCAGACACGTGTACTGGCCACAATTGCAACAGAAAAGAAAACTACGTCCAACGTAAGAAAAATAAATCCAATAAATGAGGTGACGGGAGAAATGCAGAGTGCCCTGGCACGTGAGGGGCGGAGGGGCCTGTGGCAGGGCGGGGGTGCCGCTGCACGTGCTTCTGGTGCCCAGGCGCAGCCAAGAGCATGCACACGGCCTTCTGGGGGCTGGGGGTGGGGCAGACGGTGGTGTTCAAYGGGAAGGGCTCATGGGGTCCACCTTTCAAACTGAGGAGGTGACTGCAAGGGGTAGGGGAGGCATCCTATGAGATGTATGAGAGGTAATGAAGACGGGGGCGGGGAAGGGACAAACCAAGGGCCAAGAGGTGGGAAAATACAAAAGAACAAATACAGACAGATGGACACAGATACGGGTCCACTGAGGAATCGAGCACGAGGCTTGCTACTAGACTTATAGGCCCCTCTTTCAGACGTTGGGTGGTAAACCGTCCAGCCTGCAAATGAATATAAAGGGAAGAAAACAGAGAGACACGCATCAAGTACAGGTTGCTGCGATTCCTCCTCCACACCAACAGCCACACCAGCCTTGGAACTTAACATCCACGGCTCCACCTAGCCCAGCCCGAGCACCAAAGCCACTGACCATGGGAGGGGAAGGAGGCAACGGGAGGAGCAGAAGAGAAGAGGCCCGGAGGAGAGGGGCAGGTGCGGGGAGGGGCGGGGCACCTGCGTCGGTCACCATGATTTCTCTGGACAGAGATGGTGAGGACAGGAGAGCGCCTTATCGAGCAGCTGCTGCCGTCCACGGCAGCGTTGACGAGAGAGCATTTCCTCCTCGGGGCCAAATTCCCAGCTTGAGAGCTGAGCCCTCGTCCCCCTGGCGTCCCGTGGACTTTGGAAGGACCCGGTGTTTAGCACCGTGGGGCTCCGCTGTAGGGAGCGGACAGGGGCAGGGCAGCCGGTGCCTGGGGACGGGCGCGGCAGAACACAGCAAGACGCCAAGCCCTGTCCTTTCCCTGTCATCGGGCTGACCCCTTCCAGTTCTGGCCACTTCCCGGAGGCCCATCTAGCAAAGCCATCACCTGCCTCTGAGCAGCTTACAGCAAGACCTGGTGATGGGGGACAGTGACATTTTTGGCATCCACAGACTATATCTTCTTTTTTTCTCCCCCCCCTTTTTCTTTACCAAGCTGCTCGGCAGCCTTGGCTGCGGCTCTGGTCCCCTCTACACATAGGGGCGTGCTCCTGGACACCACTGAGGCCCTACGTGGCTGGCACATGCTCRGAGACAGGCAAGCTGGAAATCACCTTGGCCACGCGCTCCGCCTCCGTCACTGGCTAAGCCGGAGCAGATGTCTGTGGACAAGGAGGCTCGGACGGAGCAGGGCTGCTGGGTCTGAACTGCCTTCGCGCACGGGGCTGTGCTGGCGTGGGCAGGGTCCTTAGCGGGAGGGTCTCTGCTGGAGTCAGACAAGTGACCTGGGCGGGGGGAGAAGAGGTGACAGGCACCATGAGGTGCCACTGGAGAGGGGAGGGTGTGGGCTGGGTCTGCTCTCAGCTCTTTGCTGGGTGACCTTGGGGAAGCTCAGAGACTCCTGCAGAAAACGGGCACATGGCTCATTTCCTGGATGGAATGTTGGCGGACAAAGAAAGTGCCCCGTCTCCCCCAGTCCCCAGTGCCATGCCGGACCTGTGCTGTGCAAATAATTGGCAGGAGACACATCTGGGCCCAAAGCAGCCTGTGTACCTCTCGCTCAAACAAGTCTCCCCTGGGCTTTGGGATCTGGCAGTGAAGGTGTGTAACTCATGCACTGTGCGGACGGCGTGCGGTTGGTTAGTTTGCCATGCCTTCCCACAGGGCATGCGTGGGGATTTGGGTACATGGGATCTCTGTCCCAGAACGCTGGGGCTCATGGCATTTGGAAATGCCATTCAGGATGCCTCAGAGGAACCCCTGACATGCAAGGACACTGCCTTGGAGCCAGACCAGTGTAGCCCCATGTCCAGGCCAGGAGGACATCCCCATCCTTCTACCTTTCCCAAAGGCAGCCGCTTCACACCCAGGGAGCAGACTGACATCAGCCTCAGATGGGGTCAGAGGAAGCAGCCTGCTGTCTCAGGCAGCTTCCTGCAGGGAGGATCAGGTGGGAAGAGCCACCTTGGGCTTCTGGCCATCTATCACCTGGGGCTAAGGTCTAGCTCCAAGCAGCCCCTGCCTCCACTCGGATCTCACCACTCTGCACCAAGCACAGAGGCCGGGGAGGTGGGGGTGGTCCCCCTGGTCCCGCAACAACTTCCTCTCTCCAGTGAAAGGCGATCAGGAAAGAAGAGAACCCCAAGTATCCTTCCAGGTCTGGTGGTGTTGCAGCTGCACCGAGTCTGCCTCCCAAGGCTCACTCGGGGGTCCCCCAGCTCCCTCCCTCCCAGGCCCACAGCAGCCCTCCCCCCAGAGGCCGACCTGTGCTGGAGGCCACGACCTTGAGCTGCTGCACTAAGGGGTTCAGCAGCTTGCCCGCCTTCAGCTTGCTCTTGCTGGTTTTCCTCCGGCGGCCAGTCGGGGGCGCCGTATGGAAGAAGCCCACGTTGGGCGGAAGTGGCTTGCCCAGGCGGCGGTACAGAGCCTCAATCTCCTGTTTCTGCTGGCTCTGCAGCTCCGAGATCTCCTTCAGGTGCCTGGAGGAGGGAGAGAGGCAGGGCAGGTGGGCTTCCCCTGCAGGAGGCGGCCCGTGGGCGGGGGGGAGAAGAGGTGACGTGGGGTGGCAGTGCCTATGTCTCTACCTTGGACCACTGGAGGGCCACAGGGGGCTTTCAATGGCACTGTTTATATAAGCCAGGCCAAGGCAAGGGGCCCCCAGCATTGATGCAGGGGAACTAAGCAACTTGAAGTTTTCAAATATCCAGAATCCTAAACACTGCCTTGGCCTGGATGGCCAGGGCGGCACAGAGGACTCCATATAGACACGCAGGCTGAGGCTGGTGACAAAAGCCCAGAGCATTAGCCTAGGTGAAGGGAAAGAGGCTGCCTTCGTTTATTGTGAGTTCTCTGCCCCAATAAGGCTGCGAAGGGAAGGCGTCTCCAGAGGAAGGACAGTGCCACCCGAAGGAGTTGGCCAAACACTTATTACTGGCCTGGAGTTCCAGGCTGGACACTGCCCTGCTGGGTCCACTGTTCTGGGTCACGATCATGAGCTGGGACGGTCTCCAGGACAGCTGAAGGGAAGGAGGCGGAGGCCCCTTGGGGAGTCTCCCTGAGGACTTGCTGGCTGCCTTCCCCACCACCCTCCTGTGCCTTGGGCTGAGCTTTGGGAGGCCAGGTGCCAACCCCACCAGGTGCCCCCACAAGGGGTCACAGCCCATCTCCACCTTTTATGCTGGGCAAACATGATTTTCGTGGTTGGACACGAGGGAGCAAGTTCTGACATCACCTCCTGCATCCTCTAAATCAGCCGTGTTTGCTTTAGAAAAAGTCTTTCTTAAGAAATCCCCACCTGCACATCAAAACCCTGGGGCTCAGGCACCTGCATCCTAACAAGGTCCAGGGGCTTCTGAGGCAAGAAAGACTCCGGACCACTGGCTACTTCCTATCAGATGTAACCAAGTCCCCTTAATACTAGATTGAGGCTCAAATTCTACCCTGCCCACTTCTAAAGATCACCCCTTTCCCCTCGGCTCCATATCCCCACTCTCTCCATTTCCCTGAATCCCTTCCTTCAAGGTGCTTCTGGAACTCCCCCTTCCCCTCCCCTGGCTTCCACCTTACGAGGCCCGCCCCACCTCTAGGCCTCACCCCCCCCATCTCTAGGCCTCACCCCYCCCCACCTCTAGGCCTCMCCCCCCCACCTCTAGGCCYCACCCCCCCCCACCTCTAGGCCTCACCCCCCCMCACCTCTAGGCCTCACCCCTCCCCACCYCTAGGCCTCMCCCCCCCACACCTCTMGSCCTCACCCCTCATTTGATTCCATGCCACTGAATCTAGGACCCTGGGAAGGCTGTGCCCAGGAGCCCCTCCCGCTCTGTTCCCACCGGTTCCAGGTGGTGCTGCTTGGGCCCCTCCACTGTCTGGCTCCACTGGGGGATGGAGCTGCTGGGGCTGCCTTCTAGAACATTCCTAGGATCTGGCAACTCTTTACACCCTGGATCTCCCATGCTACAGCTGGCCCCTCCTCGACCCCCACATGGCTCCTGTAGACACACAGCGAGTCCTCAGTGTCCCTAATACTCCCTGTGCACATGCCCAAAGGAGGAGCTATTTCTGAGCCCAGACAGCACTCAACAGCCTGCTTTCCAGCCACTGTGGAGTCCCATTAGCCACCCCCACTAGCTTCACTGTCCAGGCTCCCCCTCCTGTCTCAAAGGACGTCTCAGGGTGGCAGTAAGCCCCAACCGTGAGACAGGGAGAATGAATGAGTGCTGGATAAGAGACAGAGACAGAGGCCAGCAGAGAGACAGACGGTGAGAGAGCGGGAGGGAAGGCATGTGTCTCATGAGAGATGTCCTTCCTGAGGGTGACCGAGGAAGAAGACTGGAGGGATGAAGGGACCAGAGGGGAGGCGTGGCCCCCTGAGAAGCCAGAACCCAGGCAGGCAGCAGGGTCAAGCCAGCCCAGTGTGGAGGACACCCTGAAAGAGGGACTTTCCTCACCCAGCCGGCCAAAGGGAGGGGCCTAAGTGGGCCTCGTCACTGCCTGTCCCCTTGACCAGCAGCTGCAAGTGAATGCCTGCCCGTCCAGGACCTGAACTCCATCCAGCACGGCTCAGGGGGCCCACGCTGGCCTCGGCACGTACTTCTCCCGGAGACTGCGCAGTTCCTTCTTTATGTCCGCGTCCTCAAACTCGGAGTCATTGTCGCTGCTGATGTAGGATGACTGGGAGTGGAAGGAGGTGACGCTGATGGTGGGGACCTTCACGCCCGCCCTGCTGGGAGTCTCAGGGCCCAGTGAACCAGCCCGCGAGGACCTGTGTAGGAAGGCAGTGGCCTTCTTCACTAAGTCGCTGGCCACACCACCGCCACTGGGCAGGGAGGACTGCTTCTGCACCGGGGGCCTCCTCCGCGGGCACTCGTCCCCAGAGTCACTGGACGCAGGCTCGCCTACACCGACCTCGATGGAGGAGGCCGTCTGCACCCGCCGCACCGCCAGCTTCACATCAGGGCTGGAGGGGACCTCGTCCAGGTAGACGTCGGGCGGGGCGGAGTACCTCGTGCCGCGGGGGGAGGCCAGGGTCCACTCATCCTGCGTGCTGACCACCGAGAAGCGGCCCACGGTCTTGGCCGGTGAGCTGCCGTCCTGTCCTGGCTGCTTCCGGGGTGACTCCTGGCTCGGCGGGTGGCTGGGGCGGCTGCCTCCTGTGTCCGTCTCCAGAGAGCTCTGCAGGGGTTCTGCTGGGGCTTCCCTGGGGACCCGGCCTTTCGGGTCCGTGGGCTCCAGGAATGCGGGGCTTGCGGAAGCAGGGACACCCTGGGATACGAGCGGAAATGAACAGATTTCGTGAAAATACCGGCTGAGGGCAGGGCTCACCAGCTGGCCGAACATCATGTCAAAAAAGCCACCCTTACCTGGGGGGCACTGGGTGCTGCAGGTGAGTCTGAGGCCACCTGCCCTCCGTCACTGTCACAGCCCAACGTGTTGCTGGAAGAGGATTCTGCTGTAGGAACATTGGCAGCATTACTGGGGGTGGGACGGGGAAGAGAAAGGGAGGGCTCAGGTGGAAAGAGCCATGCTGAGTCCCTTGGGAGCACCACCGCTGGGCAGGGAAGGCAGCTGGTGTGTGTGTGTGTATGTGCATGCGTGTGTGTATGTGTGGTCTGCAGTGCTGGGGACTGAACCCAGAGTCTCGCACTTGTTCTAAGACTGAAAATACACGGTGAACAGACTTGAGGAAGGGAGGAGCACCCCGACACGCCCTCTGTACTCCTCTGCACTGTTTCCCCAGGTGCCTTTCAGCTTTAGTAGGGTCTCACCAAGCAGGTCAACAGGTCCAACTGCCAACCCTGCTCCTGGATGCCTAGGGAGTGCCAGCTGCTCCTGCAGCTGCCCCAGCGTCCTCCCTCTATGGAGTGGAGGATGGCACGGTATTTCCAGCTACTTTCTTGGGATTGCCATGAGGAGCCAATAAGAGAAGCCCCATGAGCTGATGCATGGGCACCAGCCAGAGCCAAGACCTCGTGTGGCAAAGAAAACTCATGGACAGGTTGGGGCTGGAGCTGACCCCCTGTGCTACAGAAGGACACAAGAGCCAATCAGCCCCAGGGAGGCTGGGAATCCCCCGCCCCCAGTCACCCCCACCATCTAAATGTCAGGTTCTGTGTCTGATYATCATGCCCCTGTGGGCCATACTTGACTTTCCTCTTGGCATCCTGCAACCCACCTCTGTACACTCCAAGAATGAGGAGGGGCTCGCTACTACCAGAAGTAAGGGGTGTGCTCTCTCTTATTTCTGGGCAGCTCTGACCGCCACAAAGGCACTTGTTCCCACCTCGAATCGGCCTCTCAGAGCTTCCCTCCTGAGTTTGCCTTGGAGTGCAAGTTTCAGGGCTTGCAGGCTCCTCACCTGCAGAAGGGGTCTGTGGGACACCTCTCACAGGTGAGGCCAGCGCCCCATGGAGAGGTAGGGCAGCTGGCGGGAGGTGGGGGCAGACCTCTCCCGCCTCTGCCTGTGCCTCCCCATCTCTGGGCTAAATAGCACCAGCTTCTCACACGTCCATTTTATTTCCAGTCTTAGCTGGATCCTGATCCTCATCCTTCCAATCCCCCCAAGAAGCTCCAGGCTGAGGAGGAACCTCGCACCTTCGAGGTTAGACCAGATCACTTAGGATGGAGACTCCGGAGTTCAGGCAATGAGAGAATTTCCACAGAGGTGCAAGGAAACCCCCGTTAGGTTCGGGAGAGCCCCTCCTCGCCCCACCCACACGCTAGCCAAAATCACCATGGCCATTTGTGGATATCTGGTAACCCTGCTGGAGAAACCTTTGGCCCAGGGACGTCCACCGTGTTTAGACATTGGTCATCAGGGACACTGGGGGCCTGAGACATGCTCCCTACATATCTTAGCACCCACCCATTAAGCTTTCAGGTTTCCAAGAAGGGCTTTCTCTGCTTGGAGAGCATTCAGTGGGTATTAACTAAATGCCGTGTCTGGGCCCCTTCTTAGATGCTAGATCCTTTTATGCCTTAAAGCCTCGAGAGCAAGGGTGCAGATGCAGGAGGTTCCAGGCCCAGGAAGGAAGTGGCACTTAAGACCTGCCCAGGGTCAGGCATGACCTTGAGCCGGCTACCTGTCATTGGTGAGGATGCGCCCTGCTCCCGCTCCCGCTCCTGCTCCACAGGGCCCCATCCTGCAGGGGCTGTTTCTGACTTTTCCAACTGAGTGAAGAAAGAAACACAGAAGGGAAGAGCTGTGAGCCCGGCTTGCCGACATCTTGGCAACTCAACTGCAAATCTACTTCCCCTCCTGTCTCTGGGGCAGTCCTTGGCCCGGCCCCTGCCTCCGCCTCCGTGCAGACAGTCAGGCTGGGTGGTGACGTTCGTGCAAGACTCCAAAACAGAGGCCTCTTATTACAGGGGTGGGTCACCAAGAGAGTGGGTCAGGTCAGGCCGTGGCTGGGGGTGGCCCTGCATAACTGGGATGCCTGCCCACCCCCTGCCCCCACCCAGGACAGCCTCCCCGGGGTGGGTGCAGCTGCTCACTGAGGGCCACTTCACTCAGTGCCGGTGGTGGGGCCAGAACCCCCCCCCCCCTCGCCTCCCTGTGGGGCCGGTCTCCTCCCAGGGGCTGGGGGGGGGGTGAGGTCTGTCACTCACCTCCATGGGAGTCCCAGCGGAGGCGGAGGAGGTGGGCACGTGCTCCTGATACAGCAGGGTCCGCAGTTTCTCATCCAGACTCTTGATGGTGCTGTCCACAAAGCCTACCCTTGGGGGTGGCCCTTCCCCATCGGACTCCAGGGCTGAGGGCGGTTGTGGAGGGGCAGTGGGCCCCAGTGGTGGGCTGGGGAGCTGGGAGGCAGCCAGGCTGATGGCTCCCACTGCCGTGGAGAGCTGAGGCGGCAGCTGACCAGGGGCGGGTTGCAGGCCCCCACTGGGAGGGCTGGGCTCTGCGGGGATGCTGACCTCCCTGGCCGAGGCAGGCTCCCCCAGACCTGCAGAACTTCGGGAGGCCTCCAGAACAGGGGCGCAAGGTCCTCGGCCCATGCTGAGGGGCTGGGCGGCACGCTGGGCATCGTGAGTCTTGGCCAGTGGCTGGGGAGCCTCGTGCTCACTGGCTGGCTCCTGAGGGGTCCCTGGACGCCCTGCCTGAACCGCAGTCCCCGGTGCTGGCTCTGATGCGGTGCTGGCGGCTGGTGCTGCTGTGTCTTGAGGTGCAGTCGTCACAGGAGGGGAGGGTGGGGCCAGGGGGGCCGGTGCCCCTCCAGGAGGGTCACTGGGGTGGCTCAGGAGCGGCTGAGCAGCCAGGGAGCTGGCTGTTTCCTTCAAGGTCCGCTGGTCTGTGAAGGGTGCCGCGTCTAGAGAAATAGGACAGGTGCCTTTGTTTCTGCCTTACCCTGGTCCTAGTCACCTGGTCCTGTCCAGAGATGCCGTCCTCGGGTGACCTGGCCACAGCCCCGCACGCTGCTCCCGATCCCCCCACACACCAGGTCCCCGCCTGCCCAGGCTGTCTCAGCAGCACCACTGGCCGCCTGAATGGCCTTCTGCAGACCTCTCAGCCTCTGTCCTCACCTCCTGGTCTCTGATCCTACAGTGTCCCCTTGGGTGGTGGCACAAATGCCACTTCCCACTGCCCTCTCTCTTCCACCTGTCCAAATCCTCACCTGCCGAGTGAGCTCCATGAATGTGGCTGGCAGACCCCCTGGTCCCAGCCCATTCCGCACAACTTGGAAGTGAGTCTAGTTAGTTAAGGAGTTTGAGTGGCAGGGCCATATACCCCTCCACGGCCAAGAGTGAGCAGGGACCTGGGACCTGCCCGTCCACCAGGCAGCCAGGCTTCGGCAAGGCCACCACGTGGAGCCAGGGGAGAAGGGACCTGGAAACCCAACCAGGAAACAGTCCAACAGCCTCTTCCCCGGAGCTCTGGGGTGCTCGTGGGAGCAACCTCAGAGGAGCACACAACGCAGTCTCGCCCAAACCTACCTGGCCTATTAGCCCGCTTTTCTTACCTAAAAACAACGAAAGAAACCTTTGTCTTTTAAAACGACATGAATGACGTACCCTAAACAAAAATGAAGACCACAAAGAACAGGTGGAGGTGTGGAGCTTCCCAGGACCCTGAAGCCCCTGCCCCAACCAAGGTCAAGGAGCCCGACAAGTGGTCTCTCCTGCTTGTCTTCGTGGCTTTGTCCCATGTCCTTCCAAACCCCGAGCTCTGTGGTGCCCGCACGGAACATGCTACCCACGGAACGACTGTGTGTTCATCTCTCTCTCTCCCCATGGTGCATGGGAGACACACCCATGTTCTGTATACACACACACACACACACATACACACAGTCACACACACACATCTGTGTCAGTGCACACCTGGGGCTGCTGGTGTGGAACCTCAACTGACACAGAAGCCTGGTGTGCAGGTCTCAGATCCTGCCAGGCACACACCCCAGACACACACCCCAGAAAGCATCTTTGACCTTCAGTACCGGATGCTAAGTGGCCTCCCCACGTGGGGCCTGAGTCTCTATGTTGGTCCCTGGGTGCTCCTAGAGCTTCCTGCCCTCCCCAAGTCAGCCTGRGAGAGTGTGCTAGGGTTTCCTCGAGGTCTGTTTTTACTTCTAATGAACACAGCATGGAATCTCCCTCCTAACACACATTTAAGCTTGCAGTGCTCCACGGCCAACTGCAGGCACTGTACTATAAGCCAGATCTTTGGAACTTACTCAAGCTTGTATAACCGGACCTTTCTGCCCACTGAAGAACAACTCCACTTCCCTTCCCTGCATCCCTGGAAACCTCCCTTCTACTCTGAGTCAATTTGAAACACCTCATAGAGGTGAAACCATGCAGTTATCTTCCTATGATTGGCTTTATTCCTTAGCATATTGTCTTCCAGTTTCGTCTGTGCTGTTGTAAACGGCAGAATTTCCTTTTTAATGGCTGAATAGTATTCTATGTACATGTATATCACATTTTCTTTATCCACTTATCTGTTGATAGATATCTAGTTAGTTTCCATATCTTAGCTATTACGAATAGAACTGCAATAAACACAGGAGAGCAGATATTTATTTCTTCCAGGTCTTTCTTTAGCCAGATGTGGGACTGCTGGATCCAATGGTAATTCTATCCTAATTTTCTGAGGAACCTCTACACTGCTCTCCATAATGGCTGTACAAATTTACATTCCAACTATATACAAGGTTCCCATTTCTCCATATCCTTATCAGTACTTGCTGGTTGTTTTTTTTTTTTTTTTAAGATAATAGCCACTCCTAACACAGTGAGGTGGTATGTCACTGTGGTTTTGATTTGTATTTCTTTAACAAATAATTAAATACATTTTCATATTTTTTTTTGCCAGTTGACTAGCTTCTGGTGTGTATGTGTGTGTGTATGTTGAGGGTGGGGGGATCTGGGGATTAAACCCAGGGTATCATACATGCTAGACAAGCACTCAGCTACACCCCCAACCTTTTAAAAGTTTTACTTAGAGATAGGGTCTCTCTAAGTTTCCCAGCATGGCTTTGAAGTTGTAATCCTCTGGCCTTAGCCTCCTGAGTAAGCTGAGATATATTCTTTTATGATACACCTGTCCATGTCTAGGTGGTTTTTCTATTGAGTTTTCATTCTTTTTTGATTTATAGGAGTGCATCACATTTGCTAGATAAGAAACATTGTTGTTTACGTATTGCAAATACCCTCTCTCTGATTTGCCTACTTGCTCTATTAGTGGTGTTTTATTTATTCATTTATTTATTTATTTTTGGTACCAGGGATTGAACTCAAGGGTGTTTAACCACTGAGCCACATCCCCAGCCCTTTTTATGTTGAGTTAGGGTCTCACTAGGTTGCTTAGGGCTTTGTTAAGTTGATGAGGCTGGCTTTGAACCTACTACCCTCCTGCCTCAGCATCCAGAGTCACTGGGATTACAGGCATGCACCACCATGCCTGGCAATTAGTGATATCTTTTGATGACCATTAGTGCTTCATTTTAATGCCATCAAACTTGTGTGTGTGTGTGTGTGTGTGTGTGTGTGTGTGTGTGTGTGTATCCTCAGCACAATGTAGTCAAATTTAACCAATATGTAGCCAGTCTTTCCTTTAAAGTTTTTGTTGAACTGTGATGTGTCTGTCCTACATTGGGCCCAATAAGACATTGTCCTTCATTACTTCTAGGAAATCGACTGTTTTGCCTTTTACACTGAGATTCGAAATTCACTTGTTACTGAATATGTATATGACTTGAGGTTGTAAGTAGGATTATTCTCCCCCCATGCAAAAGGCCCATGTCCCAACTCCTTTTATTGAGATGCCATCCTGTCCCCACTGGTGGGCAGTGAGACCTCTCTTGTCAATCACATGGCCAAATATGCGGGCTACATTTGGCATCTCTTCTGCTCCATTGTTCAATTTTCCTATCCTGTTTCAGGATCAGTTTGTTTCCATGATTGCAGGTTTATATAATAGTCATGAAATTCAGCATGGTCTTCTTCCCCTAGAAACCACCTAGATTTTTTCTGGCCTTTCTACTTCCACAGATATCATATATCTGATGATATCCATTGCAAATGGTTCAAGCCAGGTGCAAATGTGCATAGCTATCATCCCAATTACTTGGGAGGCTGAGGCAGGAGAGTCACAAATTTGAGACCAGCCTGGGAAACTCAGCAAGACCCTATCTCAAAATAAATAGAAAAGGACTAAGAATGTGGCTCAGTGGTCAAGTGCCCCTGGGTTCTACCCCCACTGCCACAAAAACAAGACAAAACAATTTTAATTGGGATCTCATGGAATCTATGGATCCGTTTGGGGAGAAGTAAAGTGTTTATAATATTGGATCTTCCAGTAACATGAATATAGTAGGTATCTTTCCACTCATTTCTTTTTAATTTTCTCTCCATGTTATACAGTTTTGCTATAGAGGTCTTACACATGTGTTGGTTATCTCTGGTGTTTAATATTTTCATGTTACTATTAGTGGAACTTTTCAAAGTTTCTCATTTTCTGTGTGCTGGTAATATATAGAACAATTACATTCTGTATTTCACTTAATTCTAATAATTTATCTGTGAATTCAAATTTCCATGTACATAATCACTTTATCAACAAATAGTGGCTGTTATAACTCTTCCATTGCAGTCTTTGTCACTTTTTAAAACAGCATTTTAAAAAACGCTATTAAATAGAGGTTAAAAATACAAAATTATATGACTCCCCAAAATAATAATTTCTATTTCAAAATGGGAAAGTTTTAACAAATAGGTTTTCTTGGAAGGAACAGCAGTTTAGCCCAGTAACTTCTAACGAGAACTTAGAGTCAAAGATGCTTATATTGCTCTGTCCAATTTTTTTTTTTTTTTGTATCAGCTATTGAACCTAGAGGCACTCAACCAGTGAGCCACGCCCCCACCCTTTTTATTTTTTGAGACAGGGCCTCACTAAGTTGCTAGGGCCTCACTAAGTTGCTGAGGCTGACTTTGAACTTTCGATCCTCCAGAGCCACTGGGTTTAAGGTGTGAGCCACCATGCCTGGCTCTGCCCAAATTTTAAATAAAGAGTAGTCATACTTTATAAATCACCTTTTATGTAGCACTAATGTGGCGCTGCACTGAGACACAGAAGGATCACCGGCTCTGTGGGTCTATTACAACACACTATGTATCTTTTTCATTTACAGATGATTCCTCCTGGAGTGGATGAGAGGAAATGCTACATCAAGTTGGTACCAACTCAAATAAGCCAACGTTTGCTTTGGAAAACCTTGTTTTGAGGGGTTGGGRGTGAGGGTTAGAGTGCTGGCCTAGTATATGTGAGGCCCTGGGTTTGATCCTTAGCACTACGCAAAACAATAATAACAACAACAACAACAAACTTCTTTTGAGATGAAAAGCATTTTCTTCAAATTAAAAATAAAGCTATTATGCTGTGACCCCAACTCTTCCTATGTATTCACAAGTGATCAGGCCACTGGCTCTTGAACTTGGCTTCAGAATGGAATCATCTGGARGGTTCCAAACAGAATGATGCTGCCTACCAAGTCCAGAAATCCTGACTGAACTGTATGGGCAGCGTCTGGGGCTATGTCAGTCCTTCCTGTCTCCTTCTCCTCCCTCCTTCCCCTCCCCCAATATGGTACTACCTAGGATTTAGGAGACCAAGCAGGAGTGGACATTCTTATCTTGCTCCCCATCTCATAGAGAAGGTATTCAGTATTTCACCAATTAGAACACTAGCTGGGTTTTTTTTCTTTTTTTAAAATAGAATTATCCATCTATTGAAATGATCACATGCTTTAACAAAGTCACCACATTCTTAATTCAAATTAAGTTAAACCAACCTTGAACTCTGAAATCA